TGGCACAAGCGTTCTGCAGCGAATCCACCCCAATCTTTACCCACTCTGCACTACCCCCTTACTTCACACAGGGCAATTGATAGCCCCCGAACAAAGGTGATTTCAGGGTGTCCATTCACCACTACGACCGTGCTTGGCAAAGACATGCTTTGAAACAAGGAGCACTCTGCCATCTCTGCCATCTCCATCCCGTCCGTCGCTGGAAAAGGTCCCATGCAATGCATCATCCGAAAGCTGAGAGCTTCTTCCATGCGCGCTGTCAAAGCAGCCATGATGGCCATGATCCAGATGATCAGCAGTACCATCTGCTCCATCTTCACTGCAATGCTGCGCACTTCGATCATCTTCATCTCCTTCATCTCTTGCATCTCCTCCATCTCTTTCATCTTCTTCCTCTTCATTTCCGTCATCTCGTTCCCTCCGATCACGCGATCCGCCCGGCGATCCGCCCGTCACCTCGCCGCCCTTCACCTCACGCGCAGGCTCGGCTCGCGCGCTCCGGTGGGACCGGAGCGAACGTCGCGGAAGGGATCTGGGACGCTACGTCGTAGCAGTCGTGCATGGCTATACTAACTACAAGTGCATGACTACTAGTAGCAAAGAGGTGGATGATTTGAGGGGTGAAAGGACGACAAAGCCCGAAGGTTCTGCATTTTTGGGAGGTGAGCGCATAATTCTAAGAGATCATCACGGGAGATCACTAAAGACTTCCCAGACCTCCTGACTTTCCAAGACGATCTTGAAACCAGAAACCCGATGATTGGAGCCAGGAGTGTTGAGGGACAGCGTCGCAATATGTGACAAAAGAAAAACATGAAAACAAGGAAAAAGACAACTTAAGCTTTCTATGATCTTTCTATGTTTTTTCTATGCGTTTCTTTGTCTTTGTTGTCTTTAGTTTTCTCTTTTTCCAAATGTCACTAATGTCGGTTGCGGAATTCAATCCAAAGCACTCCCTCGGTCGGCCAGTGCATCTCGCTCGCCGACCCTCGGTCGGCAGCCGGATTGTCAGCATCGGCCTCAGTTATTTTCTTCGAGGCTCTGGGGTAACCTCTCAATCTATCACCTCCATTCACCTCCTGTTTTTGGACCTTTGCGATAGCCAACGGCAGTGCCTTTGCGATAGCCAACATGAACCTAATTCCGAATGATATATGCGCACTGGACCTCTATCACCTTGCAAAAATGCTTGAAACTAGAACAAAGAGATACAGAGAGCAGTGAGTTCCGGGGCCATGTTCTGAGCTTTGGAGCCGAGTTGTGAAATTCCAATCACCCATCATCCCTCAACATCCTACTCAGCTGTCCAAAAGCTCCCAAGGTGCGCTCCCAAAGCATCCAAAGCGTCGACCGTCTTGTGATCGACCGCAGCATGCTTTGACGGCTGCCAAAATCCAAAACCCGACTCATGTGGAAGAATTCTGAAACGCCTGATAGCTAGCATCGCCAGTCTTCTAAGCGATTCTTCTTCAAAAATCATCCCTGTTGAACCCAACACACACATCATACATCTCCAGAATTTCCTCCATCTGCTTCCGTTCGACTTCCTCCCTCCCCCGCACCTGCGCCATCCATTCCGTGGCCCTCTCCGACAGCAGCTCCTGCCACTCCACCGCTGCCGTCGTCGCGCGGTTCGCCGCGCCAGCCGGACGGTGCACGTCCGTGTGCGCTCCATGCGCGGCCCGTCCCTGTCGGGCTTGGGGGGGGCGCTCTCGGCCGCTGAACCCGCTCCGTGCACCCAAAACGGCCGCCTGGCAGAACGGCGAACGAGAGAGGTCCGGGAAGCGCTCGGATTGGGTCGCACAAGTGTTTTTAGTTGGAAAAGCTAGCGGTGAACCCGGTGAACTCGAGCTTTTTGGACTTCTGCTCTGTTAGGTTCCAGTGGGCTGGAAGTTGAGATCGGAAAATGACGATTTGCCTCGTTTGCTGGTTGGCTCCTACCATGGTTGAGGCACCACCTCAAGCCCTAATTATCCTGGCAGCCTCTGCCGGAGTCTCAGGCGTTCCCCATCTGCTCTTACCACAACCAAAGAAGTCGTCTTCCTCTACATCGAGCTCATCAAAAGAGTTTCTAACCTCCCAAAACCATCCGTTTAGGACGGATTTGCTCTTAGATATCTGCTCCTCCGCCGTACCACGAGACGGTACGCTCCATCACCATGACTTCGCTCGTCGACCGGAGCCTCCTCACTGAACATGGTGGCGTCGCCCTGGCGACGACGCCCGTGGGCCCCACAGGGGTCGACGTTCGTGTGCCATTGGTTGCTACTAGGAATTGAGTAATATTTCTCATGTGAGAAAAATTCATTACTCAATCCAGGTGCTTTGAGCTTCTCGAGTGCCCAGGGAAGGCGCTTAACCAACCGAGGCTACATGGTGGGGTGGTGAGTCCCACCTGAGCAAATCGAGAAGTGTACCAAAAAAGTGTTCTGCATTTAGTGCGCGCTCTGCACTTTCATTTGACCTTGAAGCTACGAACGGGGGCTCTTGGCATCGCTACGAACGGCACAAGGACGCGAACCGAACGGAGCGGTCAGGGCATCGGAGACGAAACGGAGCGATCGGACGCTATACTATAGGAGCCCCCCTGGCCTTACGAACGGAGCAAGAGGCACGCGACCCGGGTTAGGAGCAAGAGAGGCACAGCAACGAAGGCTCGGAGCAATTGGCTGGAGTCCGAAATCGAAGACTTCCTCCAAAACAATCCTTCTTGCCTAGAGAGACAATCTGCCTAGGAGTGAAGGAGGAACGAGGTGAGACAATTGATGACCCTGAGCCTGTTTGTGATGCGAAGACCACTCTTAAATCCAATCAAACGCAATTCCCAACGCTTGATTGTTCTCGATTCGGATTCTCTCTGTCCACATTCCATTCAATAGGTGACTCCTACAATCTCCTATATATAGCTATACGATGCTATACTCACCACCTGCAACTTTGAAGTCAAACGCCACCACACCTGTCCTGAAAAAGCCGAACCGTCCCCGTCACCGCCCTCTCCGGCCTCGCGCCCGTTCTTCTCGGCGTCGATCGACGTCGTCGTGCTGAAGTCGCCGCGCTTCGAAGCGGCGAGGTCGTCGACCTCGGAGGGAAGACGAGTCAAAGACGACGGTGTAGTCTTCGGCGATTCCACAGTGGGCGAGGCGGTGGCGAGCCGGTGGCCCGAAGTGGCTGGGCTTCCATGTCGAACGAGGAGGAACCGGAAGAAGCGAACTCCGAACGAGTTGGGACCCGAAACGGCGAATAGAAAGGTCGGTCGGTTAAGGGACCAAAGCATCTGATACTCAATCAGCATGTACTAGTACTGCAGGTGGATGAATTGAAATGCTTCTCGTGATTGCCAAGAGGTCCACATATATTTGGCTCTCCTTCTCAAGTGTTAAGCCAATGATCAATTCGTTAGAATCAAATGTTTCGCATTGTTTCGCCCCTTGCAAAACATCCCTTGCAAATCCTTGAGACCCAACTCCGATCTCAGACACGAACGCCAACCCCATGGCTGCCAACCCGGTACACGGAGTTTTCGTGGTCGAAAAGGGATCGCTGGGGTACGGTACACTGGGACGCATTCTTCCTCCTGGGCATCCCATATCGACTTGGCCATGGCACTCCCCATGGCCCCTTTCAACTCTGCCAAGCGGATCAGATGTCGTGCAAGTTCGATCAATGGCGCTGCTTATCTCTATCCCTGCGAGCCAAAGATCTCTGTAACGACCAATTTGGAGGATCCTTTCAATCTTTCCCCTGGAAAGCACACCAAACCGCCACGTTTGGGACCCAGAAATCCTGGCGAAGCCACTGATGGTTCTGCTCGGCGCTGCTCGATGGGACACACGTTGCCATCATCAATCTGAATGGATTGGATTGCTTGGCGCATGGCCTCGTGAGCAGGCGAAATCGAAGCTGGGCTGGGCTGAGTGAGGCACTCATTGCAGAAGAACTATAGGGACAGACTGGAAGCTTAGCCATTGGGGGTTTCTTTGGATTCTTCTGCTGCTCCTAAGCGAAGCAGAAACTCTTTCTTCCCACCTCAATGAACAAACCCAACCCGAAACGCCTCTTTTTCCTCTCCAGCAACGAACTGGTCATGACTGGTTTTAGTAATAGGGAATGCGATGACATGAGGAAAGTTTCGCCTTTCAAAAAAACGAGATTCCTTTCCCCCACTCCAACTCACTCCCTTATGCTCAAGCTCTTCATATTGGGGTGTTTCTTCATCCAGATTCTACATGGAACCTCCGACTTGCGGTCTTCTCCGGCCCTGTCCGAGGGCATGGATCCATGTTCCAAGCTGCTGCAATGTCACTCTGCAGCTCTTCCAGGAGCGCCTTGGAGACGCCGCCTTCTTGCACGCTGCTCCTCAGCCGCCCGTGTCTGGTCGTCTGGTCGACGGTCCGGACGGTCCAGAGGGAGGCATGACACGTGGAACGATCCAAGGCATGTCCGACTTCCTGGCACGACCAGAAATGGGAACAATGACCTGTAGTGTAAAAATGCTAAAACAAGTTAAAACAGTGGTGGTTCGGGATTCAGCCTATATAATCAATGGTCGGCCAGGAAGCCTATTGTGTCCGTAGTTTGTCCGCAACGTCTTGCGCTTCACTGGTCTGAGGCGCTTCACTGGTCTGAGGTTCTCCGCTCTACTGACGGCCTCTGGTCCCAGAAATTGAGGGTGAACAATTCTCCCACCGTGGACCATCTCTTTTTGATTCTTTTTGCCCCCCCCCAAAACAAGGTTCAGCACACAGACTGAGCACGCTTCAGCACATCAAGCCCAGTTCACCACAAGAACGAACCACCGCATCTCCGGTCCGCTCACCGTTCGACCGCTCCACCCTTCCTTCCGGTGGAGACCCAGGCGTCAAGTCCGCTGCGATCTCATCAAGGCAAGTGGTGTGGGAAAGGCCCGTGGCGTGGAGATTGCTGAGCAACTGAGTGCAAATGGAGATGGAGTCAGCGATCTGGCTGATCTCGGAGTTGACGCTCTCCTGAGTCGACGACGAAGGAGCTGAAGTGGAGAAAAGAGAATGGGAGCTGGGGAGCCTGATCGCTACACATGGACTGGCCCAAGGGTGGTCTATAGATGGTATCCGAATCAAGTACACATATAAGTACCATGCCTTTGTAGAGACTTTTCTTCTGCATCCATCGTTCTTGGAGGACAAGCGAAATGCATGCAAAATGCCACAATTTCACACGAAGGCCATCCAACATGGTGGAACCAACATGCTCGGAACCTGGAATGAGCCTTTTTGGTGGCAGTGCCATGCCGTGCCTGCGATTCCACCTTCAGTTGTGAGACACAGGTTGTCTGCTGTTTCCGGTGCAACCCATCGGCAACGCAGATCTTTTCTGGGTATTCTCCGGCACTTCCTCACCCAACCATGTTGATTGATATATAAAAGTATTCCCTATCGCTACTGAAGTAGAAGCTACTAGTAGCGTCCGAAGCTTCCTTGAGAATCGTTTCACCTGTAGTAACAAGAAGCTATAGCGTAGCAATCTAGTAGCTATTTGCTATGGTTTCTGGGCACTTTCTGAGACTTGATTTGACCCCAGGAACAAGAAGCTACTAGTAGCAAGAAACATATTCCCCATCGCTACTTAAGTACCCAAACTTCTCCGTGACCTTTTCCAGGTGCGAGAACGAACCGGCCAGGGGATCAAGTTTGACGAACCAGGTATGGTGGGGGTTTATTGATCAGTCTACACACCACTAGTGTTGATTGGAAGAGTGGACTGTCTTCCCCGGAAGCTGCAAGAGACTTTGACATCTTTGCTTCGACCTTTCCCTGCTGCCCGAGGGCAGCTCATGTATGCTTCCAAGCATCATTGTTGGACAATTCATGCAACCTTGGAAAGAGGCGAAGCGCTGACTGGCGGCTGACTCTGCCAAGAAACGGAGAGGACTAGATGGACTAGACAAGTAGACAACTGGCTGCCTGTGCTTTCCGAAAAAGATCGGCGACCTGAACCGGGTCTCTTCCTGTTCCGCCTGGCACCCGGTCGAAATCCCCAATTTCCCCAAAGAGCGACGAATGGCAGGTGATCCACGTGTCCTTCCTGGCTGGGATGGTGGTGTCCATGTCTCCCATCAGCTTGAGTCGACTATCAGATTCCACTAGACCAGTCTAGACTATCAGATTACTAGTCCAGTCCAGGTCCCTCCAGTTCACCTACCACCTACAAGGCCTCATCCCCAGACTGGTCTGCCTAGCAGTGGATAGACCGGAGACCCTTTGATCCCCGGTCGCCCCGTTTTGGTCCGCGGCCGAGCCGACAGCGGCCGAGCCGAGGGAATGAGGAGACCATGAGAAAAGCGGGAGCGAATGACTGCGGTTTTCCCTCACAAGTTGCTACCTGGACCATCCAGTCTGGGTGTCCTGACTGGACTACCCTAGACAACTATCCGGGATCTCCAGACAGGACACCCAGACAGGGGCTGTGCATCAAAACCGGCGGAGCTCGTCTTGGAAAGCTTGGCAGGTTGAAGCTCACAGGCCTGTTCAATCGATTCTTTCCAACTTCGCCCTTTCTCAAAGACCCAAAACATCCCAGAAGGTGCCGTGTCTCCTTCTCTTCAGCCCAAGTGGCTGTGCTGCAAGGTGGCAGGCCTCTTCCAACATTTGATCCGATCCACCGGGAGTGTCGTCTTCGCAGTTGACCCGCTGCTGCATGGCCAACAGCTTTTGCTCGATGGAGTTCCTGGCTTCGCGTCGCTCCGACGTCGGAAGGTCGGTGACTGGTCCGGCTGCTTTCACCGTTTCCGCAGGAGTTCGGAGCAGCAGGAGTTCGGTGTCCAACGTCTGGTGACCTGGTGAAATAGGTCTGTGTGGTGACCCTGGATGTCCATTGGTAACCCCGAGTTCGGAGGCAGCTGGTAGATTTGAGAAGTTTTGCAACTGTTCAAGTTTGGGGGAGCAGGCAAAGAGATCAGTGGATCTCCGCTGTCATGGCACCAGGAGACTGGTTTCAACTACCCGGAAGGTCAAACTACATGGTGGACCAGGGCTCCAGGTTTTGACCCAGCTGTAGGATGGGGTGTTCCACTCCTTCCTTCTGGTGGACTTTCAGAAGGCTTCTGACCCTGGTCTCAACTTGCTTCAAGCCACCCAAACCCCTCTTTGAGGAAACCTCACAACCCGGTCTCCTTTGTTAAATCGATAAAAGAATAGCCACCAGGTCACCCACCTTGTGATACTCAGGTCACTCAGCCTATGTCCAATTGGCCAAACGACCCCACGACAGCCCGAAGAAACCTCTGCTCGCGACCTCCCTCATAGTGAAATGACTGTACATCCCTACTTCTACATGGCCAACCCTGACCACAACCGTACCAAATACCAGAAATCCCAAAAATAACACGAGTAGTGGACACAATCGATATTTTTTGGAACCTGGGAGATCGCGCCCTAGAACCCCCTTGATAGGTTATTTCGCAACTGCCGACCCAAAGCGGTAGAGCTTTTCGTGGGCCCAATCCTTGCAGTCATCTACCTTCATCTATCATCTATGCCCACGGCTGCCGATAAAAGCAGGGTGCACACTCGATGGTTTTGGGCTCCCCTCACAAGAAGACCGGTATAAGGGTTGGTGTGGAAGGGTTGGTGTGGACGCGCTCAGGGTTCGGAGACGTTCAACGAAGCTGTCCCAAACGCGGCCTGTCTGGGACTGCCATAGGACTGCCGATCACTTGCGGTGGTGCCAGGGGGGTCTGTCTGGGGCGGCATATATTCCAGTCCCATGGAGAGTACGGCTGCGGCTGGCCATCTGGAAATGACGAACCAACTCAACAGTACTCAACATCTATGACACCCATGAAGAAAAACACCCAGAAGTTGATAATTACTCACGAACCAACTCAACTTCAAACACGCAACCCCAACCTCCCAGCCCACCTTCACCACCCTTCACTTCCAAGGCACTCCTTCAAATGCTTGATGAAACGCATGGCCTTCGACGTCCTCCGTGACGCCTCCAACGTCTCCTGCAATGCTTGCTGCAGCTCCACCGGCCTTGTCTCCCGCGGCTGCGCAGAGGATGCTGCATTCCGGCGCCGTTCCGTCAGGTAGGCACGAGCAGCGCTGAGGACGTGGCGGCGCACGGCCAGCGGCAGCGAGGAGCCTGCGGTGCCTGCGATGGCTGGGAACGACCGGTGTTGCTGCCAATGAAGCCTCGCTCCCAACCGATCCGGCTCATGGGAACCCATGGTCGAAAAAAAGAGCACAGTTGCAAGACCCCAACGGTGCACCCACAGCGAGGCCTTCCTCCTTCGTGCCTGTTTCTACTCAGCACGAAAACTGCACCGACGTGAGTCACATCTTGAGACTCTGAGCGATCTGCCGAGTGTCGATCTGCCTGTGCCTCTTGAGCGTCGACGGCTCGACGTAGTACGATGACCCAACTCTTTGGACGGTCCAAAAGGGAGGCGAAAGGCTGGGAGTGACAGTCCCTTAAGGATTTATAAGGAATTATAAGGATTTGGATGTTACACTACAAAAGTAGCGCAATAAGCTCAACCATTTTAAACGTACCAGCACCTTCAAAGGGGCCACCAATGGAAGCCCCTTGAAGGTCCAGGTAGTCTTTGAACCCTGTTTGACACCGAGCTGCATCCGAGTTCGTGGAAGAACACCGGAAAAAACTGAGGGAATAAACATCGAGAAAGAATCAAACAACATTTGGAACATCATCGATCCATCCGAAGAATTCGTTTTGAGGGCGCGGCCAAAACCGAACGGGGTCGGGCCGGCTCCCCGCAAAAAGCCGCGCCTTCACCGCGGCCTTCCGCGCTCTTCACCTTGCTCCGGGCCCCGCGGCCGCTGGCCGTGGGCGCGGAGCCGCGGCTGCTGGCGCTACTGCGGCGGCTCCTAGGCGAGATTCGGGCGTCATTCCTCGTGGAATTTGCGGCCAGCTAGACGTGCACTCTCAAGCAAATTGATTTGTGGCAGATCGTTGGGGGAATGCGCGTTTTCGGTCCAATCCAGTTGCCGTGATTACCTCGCAAACAGCTGCTTAGGACTTAGGACTGCTGGTTTTTTTAAGGATACAGTATCCCTTTACAAAGTAGTAGACCCTTGATTATAGTCAATTGACCGTCGTCGAACGAATCGTTCGCCTCACCGAGCGCTCTCCGTCTCTCCAAGTCACGTGGTCCGCACCGGGGCGGAGGGAGGCAGCACCGGCACGCTACCCGGCCTGCAAGACATGGAGACGTTGTGCCAGCGCGAGAAAGACGTAATTCTGAATGCCCCTGCGAGACATGGTGCAACACTTGTTTTGAACCGCTCAAAGGGCCCTGCGTCAGGTGCAAAAATCTAAACTCCGCTGCTGCTCTGGGCTTTGGTCGTGCCACAGTTCTTGCATCGGCGTTTTACCGACACCGCAGCGTGCCTGATCCTGGGACAGTCAGGCGAAACATGAAAACAAGTGCCACTCTTGTCGGTGACCCAAACTCTATCGTACTCAGCCGACACCATCGTCGGCATGTCAAGATTCAGCCGCCGGGCTGAGGGTCCGAGCCCTGGCTCTGAGCTCTCTGAGCTGGTGCTGCTCTTTCTCTTTGGTGTGTCCTGTTCGGGCTTCTTCTTGTGGAATTCCTTTGGCTTCTCTCAGGGCCGATTCAGCCACTTGATGAACTTCCACAGCTCGGAGGAACACGTAGGAGCAGAAGATGATGCCAAAGAAGATCCAGTCCTGGAGGTTGTCCTGAACCTTCTCCTGATCTGGCTGGCCATTCACCCCACTGACCATTGCGGCCATCATCATCCACTTCCAAGGCTTTGTTGCAAAGCCTGCCACCATGGTCATCGTGACCTTCTGTGCTCCATTGTGGATCTGCTTCTTGATCTCCTCATCGCTCTTGTAGAGGTCGGCCTCAGTCAACTCTTGTAGGACTGGTAGCCGTCGAAGCTGGATGAAGTGCTTCAGCTCATTCCACACCTCCACAAATCCTGAACTCAAAAACTGCATCATCTGCGGAGCCAACATCGGCTTCGTCAGACAGTCTGCCAGCATGGATGCCGTTGGGATCAGCATCACATAGCGTGCCCTGCCGGACACTCGAGCTTCCTTGTAGGCGAGCACGTACAAGCGCTGCTGTTTGTCTTGGGGCACTGCCTTCGCGCCGGTGGTCAGCTCGAAGAAGTCGCGGCAGTCCGTCATGAAGTCGACGGGAAACAGCGCTGAGCCACTCTCTTGGGCTTCTGTCAGCTGCTTCAAGCTGGGCGCAACATCAGGCATCCAAAGCTCTGTCAGCCGGGTGGAGACCATGGAGCTTCCAAACCATTCACCCCCGCTAGAGTCTCTGAGTGAGAGGTGGAGTTTGACACCCTCTTAGACTTACCCCCATGAGCATACAAAAGATGACCAAAACTTGACAAGGTGCTGACATCTTCAGAAGTGCACTGCAGCTCATCTTGACGGAGGATCTGCTGGGGAAGCTCAGGCATGACGAGCACCAAAATTCCTTCCTGGGCATAGCAACGTCCTTTTGGTGCAGATGCTGCATCGTGAATGCGCTGCAATCTCAACCTGGTGCCAGGAGGAAAGAAACGATAGTGCAAACCAAGCTCCTTGCGGTCATCAGCGCAAAACTTCTTTACCAGCTGGTTTGCCTGTCGTAGGTGGTGAACTCGTGCATCAGGAACAGCTGACTGCAAAACTCCAGTGTCTGCGATTACATCCATCCTGGATGAACAAAGCCACATCAATCCACCAATCACCGATCGGAACTGGGTGATTTCAGCAGGTGTCAACTTGCGGTCGTCAGCTCCAGGTGGATCATCAACTGGTCGCAGCCTTGATGCAAAATCAGCTTGATCCATCTTCAGGCCTGTCTCGGTCTTGGAGTAGCGGCAGCCACAGTGTGCAAATGGCAGGCAATCCTTGGTGATCTTTCCAAATTCTTTACACATGTCGCCACAGAGCTGGTTGAGGAAAGTCGGAGAGCCAACCACTGCCAAATCATCAACATGAGTTGTGAGGACTGCCTGTAAAGATGGTGAGGCCTTCGGATTCTTCCAGTGGTAGAAGCTGTCATCCAAATGACTGGGAACACCTTTGTGCTTCTTGAGAAACTTGCCAAGGCTCAACTGCCAAGCCACAGGTGCATCATTCAGGCCGTAGACGGGCTTCAGGCACCATAGTCCATACTGTGGAATCTCATGAGGTGCCACAGAAAAAGATGCATCCTCTTTGGCCAAACGGCGCCAACAGTTGTATGGAGGGATGACAACAACTGAGCGTACAGGCGTCTTGATGCCTTGCTTGAGTAGAAGCTCTCTGATGCGATCAAAGGTGAGGCCCTTCAAGAATGCGCCACTCACATCCCAGCTTTCAGGACATGTGCCCATCACTGCTGCAGTCGAGAGCAGGAGCCGCTGGGAAAGGCGACTTGCCGTAGTGGATCTGCAGAGTGCTTAGCTCAGCCTTCTGCGGGTCGAAGCAGCCGCGGGCGCACATGCGGCTTTTGAGGATCTTCTTGCCTTGCTTGATCTTCCAAACACGGACCCACACTCCATCGATAATGACGGTGCCGTCAGGAACCTCATGGAGCTTGATCTTGACGAAGGCTTTCTCTTGCACGAACTGTGCAAGTTCTTTGGCATCAGCTTCCTCCACCTGTTCCCAAATCTCTGCCAAGTCCTCCTCTTTCACGCTGTTGTCCTCGGCCAGGGAGTGAAAACTTCCACCATGTGCCAAGTCGAGGTAGTAGTAGCGCAGCTTGTAGCTTGGTTGATGAACCAAAGGCTTTGCATGCTGTTGCTGCACTGCCAGATGGCGAGACTTGGAGTGGTAGATGACATTCTCCATGGTGAGATTGGTATACCAGGGAACGCGCATCATCTCGTCCCAGACATCTGAGAAATGCACTCGATGATGTCGTTGGCGATCCAGCATCCATTGAATTGTGTGGAGGTTCTGGTAGGTGTCAAAGGAGACCAGGAACTCGTCCTCTTCTCTGGATGCATGCTTGGAGATCTGCTTTCTGGGACATGGCGCTTGGACGGAACAATGGGCAGAGTGGACTCAATCTCCATGTCTTCTGGTGGTGGTAGCGGAGCTGGTGCCACATCCATTGGTGCTTGTGGTGCTTGAGGCAAAACAGGAGGTGGCTCCTCTTGAATGCTGAGCGGAAAGTACATGAAGTAGAGCACACACATGCTCTCCCAGTGCTGGTAGTAGGACTTCTTCAGCTTCATGGGACAATCATCCATCTTGGCCACCTTCACATAGTCCGTGGTGTTCTTCAACCAAATCAGAATGGTACCTCTCGTGGATGAAGGTGGACGAAGTGTATGAAGTGCCTGTCCATACAGCAAAGCATGTACAGGATGTTGAAGCCAGCTGGACCATTGAGAGAATGAAGTCAAGCACTTCTCTTGTGCTGTTGAGGGTGTAGAAGGACTCTTCAACCAGGTGTGTCCTGAGGAACTCAGAGTGAGCTTGTAACCGAGGAAGTGCTGGACATAGGGATTTGATTCTTCCACCAATTGCATGGTCTTGTAGATCTCCTCATTGGTGGTGTCCATGTTGAAGAACACACCTCGGAAAGGACGCACGAAGCGAAGTGGTAGTAGATAAGGTCGTCCTTGGTGCTTCACAACTGAAGTTCCTTCGTCCTCATTGACTTCCAGCAGAGTTGCAGGTCCTCGCCAGCAATTGTCCCTGTAGATCTCGATCTGGGAGACTCCAGGTGTCATCTCGGACGTCTGCACCTTGTGAGGTCGTGACCTGGAGGCTCTTGCCAATGCGATCCTCAGCAATCGCCTGCTGGATGGCCACCAAAGAGATCTGGCGAAGCCTCATAGCACTCTCAAACACTGAAAGGTCACGGTCCAAGGCTCCACGCACTGCTGTCAAGGTATCGGACTCGAACTCATAGAGAGAGCGTGGAAGGACTCCAAAAACGGCCATTGCAGGAGAGTAGCCGCCATAGGTGGGGCACAGGTTGTGGCTCATTGCAGCTTCCATGCTGATGTCGTCGTCCTCACACTTTAGGCCTTGTCTCTCACATTCAGCTTTCATCTTCCTCATAGTCAGCTTGATGAGCTCGACGTGTCGCTCGATCAAGCCAGTGCCAGTGTGCTGCTTGCCAGCTTCTCCAGCGGTGGTTCCTTTGGGATTGCGAGTGATGCCCAATCTCTCACATTCGATTGCCACTGCTGATGACATCAAAGCGGGCTCTTGATCACTTGTGAGAACTCGCATTGGCCCAAAGAAGCGGACCCAGTTGGCATAGATGCCAGGTAGAAGATCTTCAGCATCACGGCTTGGCATGAGGAAGGCAACCTTGTAGCGAGTTGCTACATCCACCATGAGACAAAAGGCCTTGTCCCACAGGAAGAAGATGTCCATCTCAACTTCGTCTCCAAAGTGTGCGGCCAAAGAGACCTTGGTGCGAGGACGAGCTGGTAGGCGAGAGTAGCGGCGACAAATACCGCAAGAGGCCACAGCTTCAGCGGACATCTCAATGACTTCAGGAGGCATGCCAGCTTTGAGTAGGAGGCTTGCAAAGTCTCGGGCGGTCGCATGCCATAGCTTCTCATGTAAGCCAAGAAGGAGTCGCTTGGCCGTAGCAGGTGCGGTCTTCACTGCATCAGGAAGACGTTGAAGAACACGCTTCATCGAGTACAAAGGCTTCAGCGTTCTGGCGTGAGGCAACTCCATGCTGATGTCCTCATATGGAGCATCTGGTAGAGATTGTTCATCCTTTCTCTCATGAACAGACTCTCCTCCAGCCTGTTCAGGGTCTTGTGATGCATGAGGTGGATCTTGTACTGCGTGAAGTGCCGGTGTGCGAGGGGCAGCGCCAACTCCAGGAGTAGCTGGTGCCGGTGTCATTGGCACTGGAGTAGACGGTGCTGAAGTCTTTGTTGCTGTCTTTGGAGTCTTGGGTGCCTTGCCAGTCTGTGGTGCTTCAGGGGCACCAAACATGGTGATCATCCAGTTCTCCTCTTCCACAGGCGCTCGTTGTTGGGCAGGTGACAGTTCTCGGAGGTCTTCGAGATCGTGCATGGTCCAGTTCTTGAACTCGCCTCTGAAGATCAGCCGCAGAGGAGCTGCTGCTGCCGAGAGCTTGGGTTCTGGCGGTTCTGGAAAAGGCTTGACGAATGGATGTAGTGCGATATGCACGCCATGGATGTACATCACCTTCTTCAGACAGGTGCGGATGATGGAGAGCAAAATTGGATCATCAATCCAATACTGGTAGCCCGTGCCGTCAGCCTCTTCGAAGAAAACCATGCTCTGCTCGATGAGGGTGCAGGGCAGATGCTTGAGGTAGACAACCTCTTCTGGCCGACGGGAACTGTCAAGGCGACCTCCTTCAAACCTTTGTGGTTTCTTGCTGCCTTTTGGTAGAAGGCGATGATTCAGCTGTCTTGGGAATCCTGCCATACCTGCATTCACCAGGGATGAAGGAATGCTGCATGTCAGCAGTTGCAGCACGACCAAGCTCGCAGCGTTCACACTTGTAGTAGGTGCGCAGGGTCTGCCAGGCATCGCGATGTCTTGAGCGAAGGAGTCCTTTGGGCTGGATGTGCTTCAGGAAGTCTTGGAGCAATGCACGACAGAATCCAGAAGGATATACCGCAGCCATGGCCGTGCGGTTCACTCCATTGTGTTGTCCCTGAAGTGCAGCATGTGCTTGGCCATGATGTCCATTGCAACGTCGAATGGCCATCTTGAGCTTGATGTTGGACTCCAAGCCAGTGGATTTCTTCACAGGAATTCTCATCCACTGATCAGCGAGGCGCGGTTTGCGCCAGCAAGGAAAGTCCTGGTTGCGGACCATCACTGATTCGGACCACATTGCTGAAGTCCAAGGTTGCTCCAGCACATAGGCTCTTCCTGAAGAGACCTGGTAACTCATGACCTGCTGCATGTAGGTCAGAGCTGGTCTTTCTGCCTCACGATCTTGTAGAAGAAGATGTCGATCTCGGCGAGATGCAGAAATACTCCAGAACTTGCAGCGAGGTGATGCATGAGGATCTCTGGCTCGAAGGTGGTAAGAGCCATGTCAAGCATCTTCTGGTGTTCAGGATTGCCGATGTCCCAGCCGTAGCGGAAGTCGACCTGGAAGCCAACGATCAGACCTGCCAGGCAACAGGTCAAACTCAATCTCGAGCTTCCTGAACACCATTCCCACACATGCCACTTCGTCTTCTTCTTGGCTTCACTGAACCAGTTGGAAAAGGAAGACGGCGTGACCATTCTTCGATTGGTGTGGGTGTAGAACTCCTCAGGCATAGCCTTGTAGTCCTTGGTAAACTTCTTTTGCTCCTCAGGTGTGAGGTAGTTTGGAAGAAGATCTCCTGTAGAGCGGCAGGTCGATTAGTGCATCTGCCAGGAAAACATCAGTGGTTGTTGAGCATGAAGTATCTTTGCCATGGTCATTGAAAGTCTCCTCAGGGATTGTAGAACACGAGGTATTCATGCTGTGGTCATGGATCTCGGCCTCAGGGGACGTGGAACATGAAGTGTTCACGCTGTGGTCATGGATCTCCGCCTCAGGGGACGCAGAGCATGATGTGTCAATGCCTTGGTCTTTGATCTTCTCCTCAACGGTTGTGGAGCGTGAGGTCAAAATGTCGTGGTTCTTGATCTCAGCCTCAGGTGTCGTGGAGCATAAGGTCTGCTGTGCAGTAGCTCTTGGATCTTTGGATTCAACCTCAAAAGGAACGGAGTGATAGGTCCTCTCGAGGCAACTCCGCTTCTGCTCTGGGATTGCCGTGCGAACTGCACTTTGCCAGAAGGTGTATGCATGATCGGGCCACTGACGATGGGACACTTCCGAGAGCTGCTTGATGAAATGACAGATCTGCAGGTCTTGGCTCTTCAGGCTGGTGTCCTTGTCCAGCGGAGGCAAATAGTGGCCTGAGTCAGTGAGAAGGACTCGAAAAGCATACATCACAGGTGTGTTCTGGCTCTGCGTATCCCAGGTGACCAAAAGACCATCTTGGTTGTCAAACCAGGATGAGTGAAGCGAAGCTTTCATGGCGCATAGGGCTGGATTGCCACATAGTGCAGGACATAGTGAGCCTTCATTGTCAATCACATCGGCCTCGTAGACCGCTTTCAAAACCTTCAAGGGTAGGCGAAGGTGAACTCGACCCAAGGCCTTGTCAGGACAGCCGCTGATGCCAGTGATCGTGGCAGTGGATTCACTCCAGGTGACCATGTTCTTGCCGTCCTCAGGGTAGCAGCTCTCAATGAGGTCACGGAGGGTCTCTGAACCGACAAGTCCAGCAGCGGCTCCAGGGTCGATCAACAAACCTCTTCGCTTCTTGCCCTTCACGGAGTGGTGGTAGCATGGGTGCTCAACATTGGTGTTGTTGACATAGGTGGCGAAGGTCAAGTTCTTCTGAGGTGGAACTTCTGCAAAGGCCTCTCCAGATAAAGGGTCATGACCAGCTTCTTTGTCTGGAGGCGTCATCTTCAGGGATGAAGAAGGATTCACAGGGCGTGTAGGTGTCACCGGGTCTTCAACACGTAGGCCATTGCCAGGCTGTTGACGAAAGTAAGCCATGGCATCACGGTCGACCATGTAGCCCTGTGGATCATAGTTGTAGCCCTTGCTTTTGCCTTTGCCCTTCTTTCCTTTGTAGCCTTTGCCTGAAGACCACTTGCCCTTTCCTTTGGAGCGCCATGCCGCCATGGAGGTCTTGACTTGAACTTGCCCTTGCCCTTGCCGAACTCACGAGAGCCAGTCTTGACGGGGCACTGTGCAGCATGATGCCACTTGGAGCCACAAACATGACATCCACCGCTGCCACCTTTTCCTCCTTTGCCATAGTAAGCATCTTCGTTCTGATCGGATGAGGAGGCAGGTGTAGAGGTCGTCATCGGCCCACTCATCGGCATACCATGTCTCCTGCCAAGGCTCATGCCATGAAGACCAGTCATCCGTGGTGTGGTAGTCTTCGTAGGGCTCGTCCACAGTGCCGTACAGGTCGGTGGAGAAGGTGGAGTTCTCACCACGTTGACTGAGTCGGAGGGCAAGACGTTTGGCCTCAGCAAAACGAGACATGTCTCCTTGGATCTGGAGCTTCACATCCTCGATGAACTTGTTCGGCAGGCCTGAGTTGCGAAACCACAGGTAGGTCTTGGCAACCGGGTTGATGTCAAGGCCTGCTCGAGTTTGAGCTTCATCGTACCTCAGATCCCATTCGGAGGCGTATGCAAGCAAGTGTACTCCTCAGGGCCCAGGATCGCTGCCAGGAAGGTGAAGAGAGGGACCTCAATGTCCGTGTTCAGCTGGTAGTGGATCGAGTCAAGGTGCTCGAGCTTCACCTCCTGGTAGCCGGAGATGTCAGTGAGACAGGTGAAAGCCGCCAGCCAGATCAAGGAAATCCAGCTAGCCACTGAGCCACGGCTTACGAACGGCGTGGCTCGCACGGAGGAGGTAGAACACGACGTCGTCGTGACCACCGTGCCGAAAGCTGGAGGTCAGGTCCAGCGCGCCACCAACGGCGCAGGCAGCCAGGCGAAATGGCTCCGGAAAACAGGCTCCGATGCCAAACTTGTTTTGAACCGCTCAAAGGGCCCTGCGTCAGGTGCAAAAATCTAAACTGCAACAATGTGAGTTCATATGATTGGGACATAGATGTGGTTTGGGACTCTAGATGTTCATCCCACAGCATTTGCTCGTCTTGGGTTCCCGGCACACCAGTCCTATTCTCAGGTTCCGGTGTGTGACTGGCGACTTCTTCGCGTGGTCTGTTGTAGCCTAGCACACAGTCTGGACCATCCAGGACCTGGAGATACCTGGAGATAGTAGTGAGCCAGGGCTGGGTAATCTATTGGACACACCCTTGGATGGTCCAGGCATGTGCACCAGTTTGCCAATCACTTAATTAATCGGTATGCTTTAAGCTGTCTCTGCAAGTCTGACTCAGGTCCAAACCCGACACAAGCTACGAACGGAACAAGGACGCTACTAGCGCTACGATCGGGGCTCCTGGCATCGCGAACCGAACGGAACCACCATTTGACACACCTTCGACCGGTGTTTCACCGCGAAAGGACGACCCGAAGCGGTTTCTACCGGGTCAGAACGTGCACCGGTTTCAGAGAGGTTTTGAGACGAAGAAGCCCTGCACGGATGTGCACGGTACATCATGGGGATCGGAAGACAAAGACGGCTGACATAGGGCATCATAGGACAATGGACGGGGATGTTCAAACCGATTCCAAATTCTTGGGAAGCCTGAGTTGGACTTGCCCCAAAACGGACGCGGAAGAATGCAAGTGAGGGTCAACAGGGGCTGTGGGCGCTGGTTGACTGGCAACTTGTTCTGCTTTCTTGGCCAAGGAAGCTGAAGACTCATGAATGTCTTCTCAGAACACCGCACACGTCACCAGAACATGCTTCGTCCACGCCACCGACCGTCGTCAAAAACCGCACCTCACGGAGGTCAGGGCATCGGACAGGGAATGGCCTGTGACGTTTCTCGTGGAGTTGATCACACCAGGTCCATCCAATGAGTCGAACAAATGGAGACTCCCTACACGACTACTGTTGGACATGTCCATTGGATGGTCCAGGTACCAAAAAAGTTACAACAAACCCAAGTATTTAGAGCAGTGAGTCCAGTGGGCAGGGGGTCCACCACGGCGCATTCAAAAAGCCGCTTTGAGCGTAAGGTCAGCACCGACCGTGGGCAAGCGTCCCAGGAATGCTAATGGAATTCCTCATCCCTACCTGTAGACCTGAAACACTACAGTATTTGTCATGTCTTGTCACGAAACATCGCTTCTCCAGTGGCTGTGGGTCTTATGGTACCTCTGGTGGCGAACTTGGAGACGTTGAACACACCTGGACATGGTCCGACCCAACTTGCGGAAGTCAGCGGCGGTTGCGAACGGACCCGGACTCGACCCGAAGCAACCCCTTCTGCTTCAGGCCATTGCCCAAGGCTGACCGATCGACTTGGACTTGGACGTTGTAGAGCCCAAGAAAACCATCATCCGCCGTGTACTCTGTTGACATATCATAGCCCTAAAACAACCATGGTGTAATAGGCTTTTAATTACCAAAGAACCATCGTTGTACTACGGGTCTTAGACTACCACAGGTGAACCTTTCTTTCAATGCTGGAAGGCTAGGGGGGAACATATCAACGAAAAAACACACCCAAACTCTTTCGACACCATGCCCCTCTCGGAGACAGTGGTTTCTCAACCCCCCCTCTCACCCTGCAGTCAGAACCGGTCACCCAACATCTGCAAGTTCGGCCCAAAACTCCTTGAATTCTTCGGGTCTGGAAAGGGCTGTATCGAGGCCTCAGAAAAGAGGTCCGGTCCAAGGATCTCTTGGGGTCCAGAAATTCTGAAGAACACCCCTAGCCTAGGCCTCCAGTCGTACCGTCGTTTCACCGAAACCGAAGGTGGGACTGAGGTGGGCTGGGTCCAAAACTGGAGGGTCCAAAACTGCTACGACTGGAGGTGACATGGAACTGGACCGGTGCCAAGAGGCGCTTCTTCTCTCTCCGCTCGGGCATGGCGTCAGGCACGATGGCTCATGGCTCCAAGCGGCGCCAAGCGGCCATGCGGGGTGCCGCGCTCACAATGTGGTCCGAAGGGCGTAGAAAAGACATCTGCTTGCTTTGAACTTGTGCGACATTGCGGGTTATGAACCCATATGGCATGATATGGCTGTCTCCTCGCCCTGATGTAGGGAGGGCAGCAATGTCTCAAGCAGCAAGCTCTGCCAAATGGACGACCCACTGGGAAAATGAGGAGGAATCCAGGCATCTTTCTGCAGCTTTGGGCCTGCGGGCATGCTGCTCAATTTTCGAGCTGTGTATGGTAGCTTCTTCCAAATACTTTTAGCTCCACCTCGCAGTTCTTCCATGTTTGGGAGTGGCGGCACAGTATCTAGAGCCAGCAAAGCATCACCGACTTCAGGTCCAGATGAGACAAGGTAAACCTGCATCGACCAACGACCAATACCAACCAATACCTATATATTTGGACAATGGAATCACCCAACATCTTCCATTGACCAGTTTTTTTCTGTTCAAGTCTCGTTGGAAGAACTAGTGAAGTTGCCAATGGCAAAAGGATAGAACCAAAGACGGTAAAATGACATAGCTGTTACTAGTAGCACGCACGCTATTAGGTGGAGGCCATCGCTAGTAGGTTGGAGGCCATCACTACTATAGTAACAAGAAGCTACAAGTAGCAAGGACGGAATCCTCGACCACTAAGCTGCCCAAACAACACGTACAAAACAGTAACGTCGCATCCAACTATGCCGGTTGGATGGCACGTCTCGTATGGTGTTCAGTCTCGACCCATCCCTACCAGGACCATGCAGATCACCACCTGTCACTTCAAGTCTCCATTTCAGCCACCAGTTTACTTGGAGACCTGGTTGGTTCTCGTCGGGTGCTGGTGGGGGATGCGAGGCGTGGACGATACTCAAATGGAATGAGCATCAACCAGCTGCCAATTCTTCATTGGACCCGGGTAGGGTGTTGCTAGGACTTAGTTCTTTTCTTTGTTCACACGCTCCGACTCGACATACTTTGAGGCGTTGACGATGACTTTTCCACGCACAAAAAGTGTGTGGGATTCTATGACCACCAAATCCCGAGGTCCAAAAGAGACCTGGCGGAACCCGATTTTTTCTTCGGCTGAAAGACCATCCAGAGACACAACCTCTGCAATTGCAGAGCAAGTGAGAATCCGGCCGCGCATTAGCAGACTAGCATGAGTCAGAGTCGTGGATCAACGGTCTGTATCGGTTCAATACACCTTAAATATTGCAGCCAAGCTAACAAAGAATCTCGATTGTATAGTTGAAACAATGTCAGTGACTCTTTGGGAACTTCACTCTTTCTCTCTCTCTCTCTCTCAAACCTTCAGAAAGCATTCAGCCTACACGCAAGCCTCCGTTTGGTTGATCCAATCCACGTACGGCACCGGTCCAGTCCAGGTCTGGCGGTGGAACGACCAAGCCGAACCCCCGGAGGAATGCATGGTTTGCCTGATTTTGAGGACGTAGAACACCATATACACGCCGAACACATCACGAAGTGGGTTCCACCCCCGGTTTGTAAAGGAAAGTCGTCTTCCAAGGGACCATGCCATCCACTTCCATGTTAGTGAGTCAGAGTGTAGCCAATGTCCTAGAGCCACGTACCTATCTCTTTGGTGGATCCAAAGGCAACATGATCTTTCAAAGTGGTTCGCTGGAAGAGTTGTGACAGGTCAACACAGGCCACACCACCATAGTTGGAGGTCTTCAGTAGACCTGTCTATGATCTACCAGTGTGCTCGGACATGGTTGGAACATGATCACTGTGTTCGGGAGCACGAGTTTATGATCTTATTCAAGATCAATCTTCACACTCTGAGCTGGTCCCGAAAAAAGATTTCTGCCCCAAACCAAACAGCCTGGCCTGCTAAGAGAGAAAAATGCCATATCCATGTCCATATATATCATATATATATAATATATATATTATATTAATATAGAAAGGGCGCTTCGGATACTTCTTGCTGCCCACTTCAGGCTCGTTTGGGTACCACCTCACCAATGGACCTCCGACGGTCGCACGCGAGTCCGATGGACCCATTTGCCCCGAGTCCGATGGACAGAGTCGACGGATCCATTGTCCAGCTGGTCCAGCACCGGACAGTAGTTGTTGCATGGAAGATACACAGGTCGTTGTTGGTTGGCGTCCATAAACCACCCAACAACCACCGGATCATCCTTCTTATACGATTGTTGCATGGTGTCCATGGGGTGTCCATAAACCATCCGAACGTCCGTGGTGGATGCTGTCCGAGAAGAAGAAGAAGAAGAAGAAGAAGAACGCCCTAGGTACGTACGTCCCATCTGACTTGCCTGGACCCAAACCTGGTCAAAGTTACACCTCGCTAAAAGAGTAGTGTTTGACCCTAAGGATCCTTGGACCCTCCTCAGAAGGGGTCGAACCCTCTATAACAAGGGTTTTGAGAGTAATGTGTTTGAGGGTGCGGGATCCTTAGCTGAGTTAGGGGAGTATGATCAACTCCAGTATTTCATGAGGTCATTGACCTGTAGCAGAGGGAGTTGATGCCAGGTACCACCATCTACATCCATCGACCAATTGGTTGTACAAGAAAAAAGGGATTTTGTTCGATTGGTTGTCCCCATCAAAGGTCATCTATTGTCCCTACAGGCTTCCAACCAATTGGTTGTTCTTCCCTAGGGCTCCAAGTACCTTCTGAGAAGGTGTTTAGATGTGTTTAGGGTGGGTTTAGAGGGTCCAAATACCTTCTGAGGAGGTACGACTGGAGCCCTAGGGCTTGGGAATCCTTGAAACGGACGGTTCCGCCGGCTTTGTCATTCGATCTCGGCATCCGGTGGGACGGGACACTGGTGGACGTGGACGTGGAACCAGGTGCTGCTGCACTGGTTACAGGAGCGAGACCGATTTCGGCAGCAACGACTTGATCGACAGAGACAGAATAGCCAGAAGCCGGTTGAGACTTCAAGCTGGGAACAAATAACATAGAAGGGGATGAACGCCCAGTAAGAGGAGAATACAACTCATCCTAAGCAAAAGTAAGAACAGGGCCTATCGATGGTTTAATATGCCATGAAACCCTAAAGCATGGTGTTGCGTTTTTGGAGCACCATGCAATGTCTTTGCCAACCTTCCAAAACAAGCCAAAACAGAAAATACGTGTGGACAAATCTGTGTTCCTATACCATACGGCCCACAGGAATCACACCTGGACCCTCCAAAATACCTGAAACAACTGGCACCATGTGACATGACCAGGTACGACCCTACACAGTGTCCGAGCTCCCAACAGGTCCGAGTTCGAAGAAACAAGATCGACTGGATATCGACTTGTTCGTCCTTAGGACTCAGGACACAGCCCTGACATTATCCGCAACAGCCCCATGTGTCAGGCATCTCCGCTGTCTCATCGTAGGCCTCGACGAATTTCCTCAGGCCGTGCTGGTGGTGGTGGGGAAGGCACTTCATGCTGGCTGTGCTGCATCTCGCGTTTCGCCAGCAGCTTCACGTGTTCCTCAGGACCTTTAAATTCCCAGACACGACTAATGGGACTACCATATATGCCTACATTGACCCTCCCTACACCCGAACTGATCGGCAGTCCTATGGCAGTCCCATGTGTCGTCTTTGGGATTTACATGCTGGCAGTGTGATTGGCGATCGGTCTGACCCCACATCGGTCTTCACCATCAACAGCTATCCTTGCATCCTGGAACAGCATCCTGCAGCATTGTCAATCCTAACAGGCTCAATAAGACTCCTACTAGCCGTTTCATGAAAATTGTCCGAAAGATTTGTTCCATCTCCAATGAGCCCTTCTCAAACAGTCCGGAGACGTCTTGAACCACCCCACCCTCGCGGTTTCTGCGCGTGCGCCGCGTGCGCTCGTCCACGCCAGATGAGCGTCGCTCGGACCAGCTCTTCGACCTCGAGTTCGAGTCGAAAGGCGACGTTCGTCTTCGGAAAGGGAAACAATGAACGAACCCGTAGCAAGAAGCTACCAGGTTGGAGGCCATCGCTATTAGTGTGGCCATCGCTATTAGGTTGGCTTACTGACGTTGATCAACCTATATAGCAATGGCCTCCAACCTATAATGGCGGCCTCCAACCTTCAAGCAATGGCCTCCAACGAAAAAGGTCATTCACCTATTCTTTTTCACATCACCCTTCCTCCGCACCCCGAGAGAGGGGCCAAGTGGTTTTGAACTGCATGGGTCCGATCCAACTCGTGGAGGTGAAAACCGCGGAGGAGTGATTGTTCCCTTGCAAAGGCCGCATCCGTCCACGTACAAAGAACAAGTAGAATGAAAGAATAATTAGAACAAATGCACTTTATTGATCTTTATTGTCTTCTTTCTGTTTGTCTTTCACTTTCTGTAATTCCTTCCCCAATAGTCCTGAACAGCCCTCCAGTTCGCAGGGGATTCGGACCTTCTAAAACCGATCAACGCAGAGGGAAAGGCCAGTGTCGAAGACTGAAGTGCGACGAAGGCTGAGGGTGGCTGAGGGTGTTCGAACCCGATACCATCCAGCCACCCTCAGTCCTCACGAGTCGCAGCATAGTCAACTTCTATAATGGTCAACGAGATTCTGCAATGTTGCTGTTTTGCGGACAGAAGAATCGTCTCAGAAAACCCATTCTTGTGCAACAGTCAGTGGCTGGTGGTCCAAGATTAGTTGCCAGCGCCTGTGATGTAGACTTTTGACTCATTTTTGAAAAGAACCATTTATGAGGGGCTTGACGCATGCAGAGTCTGCATTACTTATGGCTGGCTACGTTACATGCGCTGCTCTGGGTGCCGGGTGGTGTAGCGAAGTTCACACCTTCTTCCGTCTGGATCATGGGAGAACATGGGCGTCCCTGGGAATGTTGGGACTGAGTTCGATGCCATACGTCGTGATGAGAGGCCATGATGTGCATGAAGAAATAGAGATTGGGACAAACACAAAAACACCCCTCCCTTTCTGTTCACCCCATCGCAGAAGTCCATTTCAATTCCTGCTAGAGAGTGACTGAAATCGGGGTCACCAGCCAACTATTTTCTTGGTGGTCCATCTGACTCCCCAGTGTCGCTG